AACACTGACTTGTACATCGGCTGGCCCCCGCAAGTCATTGTATAGGCCACATCGCATTCAATAAGCCACTACGATTCTGAATGGAAGTAGAATGCGTGCCGCATCCCACAAAGGGATTGATCAACGGCGAAGACTTTATTTATTCATCCTTTTACACCATTTTTAGATGGACTACGTTAGAAATAACGCCGTTGCTCATAGACCAACCCAATATTCCACACACTTGTAATTACTTCTTGTATATTTACTTCTTTCCAATTTATTTCGAGCCCCATAATTCTACTCTATAAGGGGTAATTTATGCCCTTCCAAAGCACCTTCATCTTCTTGCGAATTCAAGTTTTCGCCCTGACCACAGGTCGCACCGATCCTTCTCTCTTTCGTCGCTCCCAGGATAAGAGTCATTTATTTCCCACTGTCACCTATCGACATATGCTTCTTTATTCGATAACGTTCATCTTGTTCTTTACTGGGGTATTCGCTAACAATTTTGGCCCACCATGTCTTCCTACGCGAATCAACTACAAGCTGCACTATCCGTGCTTCGATAGCTCTGAGCAAGGTCTTTTCATCATATCGCTACGAAACCATTTCCGGGTTTTCAACTGAAGAAATTTAGATGAATTCGATGACCAAGCAGCTCGTCTCAGAGGAGAACCATCCAAGTTCGCTCGGACTGGTTTTTACGATCGATTATTCAAGTGAGATTCCGTATCAGATATGTTTTAGTTCTTTATCGGGGCCGTGCACCTGTACATTTTGGGCAGCTGAATTTGGTCCAAGCACAGTTCTACTCGGGAGGGGGAGCATTCTACACTTTTGCTACTTTCCATAGGCCTTTCGAGCCATCAGGTGGAGACCTGTAAAAATCTTGTGAAGTGAATCACACCAGTGAAAGTTTTCAGAAACTACTTGTGTTAACTACTGCCAAACTATGAAGACGTCTACGGGAAGTAGCGGAAGTGCAAATGACCCCCCCAAGCCGAACTGCGCCGTCTTCGTTTGACACTGCTTAGCCTTTTGGCTTCCGCTGCTTTTCTTTTGATCTGAAACTCACATGCCGAAGACCGGCCTCGACGTTCCCGTATCTCACTCTATTATTTTCAGTGCACATATTCATTCGTTTACTTCAGTGATTACCTTCTGTCTCGTCAAAGTAGAGGGCTGCTTAAATACAAAAGGAAGACGAGGACGATAATAAGGTCACAAGCCGGCCACCCAACACAGGCCATTTCCTGTGCCCGCGCATTTGGACACTATACTTCAACAACGAAAGCAAATTTTGGACTACTTTTGGATCTATAAGATATGCTGATATGCAGTATTGTTTATATCCATATGCAACGCTCCAGAAATTCTCCGAACTGAATTCTCCCACATCCCTTGACGAACGACTCTCTGTAAAGTGTAGCATAGATTATTCGATTACAGGCGCGTAAAATCGATACCTACTCTACAGCATAGGCCCCCACGGGCAAATTGAAATGTGAAAGAAATATTACGTTGTAGCTTCAACTTCCAGAGTGGGAAACACGAGAGCATGGCAAGGACCGACGTATATCTACCAGCCGACCTACGGTTATAATCCAAACCTTCCACAAAATGGGCCATATATGTTCCGATACAGCAATTTCTTCACTAAATCGTTCGAGTAGTGGATTTTTGGCTTGTACAGTTAGTTCATATTGCATGATTGTTTCCGTTGTGTTCATGTGCTTGTGCAATAAATAGTTGTGCTCATAGCTGAACAAAGGAGATATTAAAAAGGAAACAACCGAAGGTGGCGAAAAACTGTAACTGGTGAAACAAAGGGTCTAGAAAAGGCCGTTGACGTAGTTGGGTTGGGGGGGGGGCGGGTGGACCCTCTTCAGCGTTCCGTACCCTTGCCCTAATCAAGGCTTAGGCTTCGTGTATACTATGACTTCACTGCGGGACTATCCCGCAGCGACCCTGATAGTCTCCGCTCTAGGCCTGTTCTAGGGAAAAGAAACAGATACGTGGACGAGTGCCCCCCTCAACTACGTCAGAGCTCTGCGCAGCAGTTTGCGATGCTAATGCTATAAATCTTAATAGAACTTGGTTCATCGAATATTCGGTGCATTTGGTGCAAAAGCACGTCCAATCACAGTCATCGCGATATTGCACAAGGGTCCTCTAAGCTCTAAGGGTTTTTCCTGAACTGAACAGCAGGAAGTGCGAAAGCTGCGATGAAACACTTACGGATCATAGGGCATAAGTATTTTTGCCAGCGCCAAGGGGGAGCTACGGAATGGTTGAAATACTCTTATC